AAAGAAGCAAAGATGGGCTTTGGAAATAATACGCCAGAACTCCGTATCAAATAATGGTATAGGGCTGGACCTCAAACTGATTAATGTGTAATGGCTAAGCCCCTTAAGCATAACTACTGTTATAAATCTCTTTCTCTAGAGTAGCCATGCCTAGTAACCACATGGGTAACAAACCTTTCACAAATGATCTCTCAGCTAATCTCAGGCCAGTTTTCCCTTCAAATGAGGGAGAAAAGGTATTATTACCGACTATACAAAACTCAAGTACTCCTCAAACAATCAGTTTACTAATTCTGGGACCTAAGCAAAAAGTTCTAGAATGGGCCCCTAGCCCTTTTTAGTTAACAAACACATAACTAGGCACTATAAAAGGTAGAGCTTTAATTACTTAAGATATTTCCAGCTTTAGAGGTCTCTGATCCACTTCTGTCAACATGCAGTCATTCTGCAGCCTACTTCAGCTTAGCATTAACCAGAACAAGCCTGCCCAAATTAGAGGATTTAGCTGTCCTGTCTTTACAGGCTCTGAGATCCTGTTCCTCTCCCAATATGCAGACTCAGAAACATGAAATCTTAGAGCTGGAAAGAACCTTAGAAGTCCATCAAGCCCAGTGCACATAAGAAGTCATCAACAATGTCCCTGACAACTGTTCACCCAATTGCTGCTAGAAAGCCTCTAAGGGGGAACGAACTTCCTGCATGGTGGCCCATGCCACCCTTAGGCCAACATCAGGAAGTATCTCTTTAGAGAAAGCCTAGATCAGCCTTCTCAGCAACCTGCAGAGGTCGCTCCAAGTTGTGTTGCTAATTTAAGATCTTCTTACACATGAAAGCAATCCTATTCCTCCCCTAAAATTTTCTCTACCCAGACTAAACTTTCCTAGCTCTTCAAACAAATTCTTAAATAGCATGCTCTCAAGTCTCCTCACCATCCTGGCTTCCCTCCTCTAGACAAGCTCTGGCCTTATCAATATCCTTCCTAACTCAGAACTCAGCATGATAATACAGGTAATGATAATAATATTAACATTTATACAGTGCTTACTATGTGCTAAGCACTTTACAAATGCTCTCATTTGAGCCTCATATGACCCTGGGAGGTAGGTACTATTATCTCCATTTTTTCAGAGGAGGAAACTGAAGCAAAAGGGGTTATGTGACTTGCCCAGGGTTACCCAGCTAGTAAGTATCCAAAGCCAGATGTGAACTCAGGCCTCTCTGATTCCAGGCCTGGCACTCTATCCGCTGGACCACTCAGTTGTCCCCAGAGGCAGAATATTCCGCATATAAAGTTTCTATTAATAAAGCCTAAGATCTATGAGGGACAGAGTGTGTAATGGATAGAGAACCAGGCTTAAAGCCAGGAAGACCTGCGTTCAAATCAGGCCTCTCACACATGCTGACTGCGTGACCCTGGGCTAGTCACTTAACTTCTCAGTGATCTAGGCAACTCTCAAAGATATAAGATGCAGGAAAGGTTCTGCCTGACACTAGTAGCAGGGCTCCCAACACCAAGATATAGCAGTGAGCGGCAGCCAAGGAGGGAGCAGAGCTCAAGGACCTGGCAGCAAGCCCTGTCTCAGGCATCCTCAGACATCCAATGTGTGTCCAAGGGCAGCTCACGTAACCACTCAGTGCACCAGGCAACTCTCCACAAGTGGCAGAGGAGGCCGGCATTTTCCTCTCTGGGCTCTCAGGCCCCAGAGAATTCACTAAGTAAAGGTCACATTAACTCTTGGTTTTCACAACACAAAGCTATCACTGAGTTGGAAGCTAGACATTCATTCATTCACTTGCTCAGGGCAAATATTCCAAGGGTCACCGAATTTAAAACTCTACAAGCTCTACAGAGTGAACAGAGAAGCTGCATGGCATAGTGGGCAGAGACAGGGGGGCTTAAGGACCTGGGTTCAACTTCCACATCCAACTCTGAAGGACAGTGTGACCCCTGGGAAGACCCTTAACTCCTGCATTTCCCAAGCAACTCCCCAGGACTTATCTAAGTACACAGAGGGCTGCAATCTCCCCAGGCAAAGTTTCCATGACAGGAAGTTGGGTATTCAAGCAAATAGTAGGCAGTAACATTTAGTGATTTTTAAATACTTACATGAAATCCTGTATATCAATTCTAGCAATCAATTAACAAGCACCTATTCAGTTCCAACACTATGCCATAGGCACTGGGCATATAAATACTACATAAATACCAAAAGTTTTGAGAGAGTCTTTGCCCTCAAACTGATATTCTACTGACAGTTGAAATTAACCTGAAATTCCCATCCAGGACTGATCATTTTGCATCCTCCAGTAAAGCCATTCTTAACAGTGGCTTCCCAGGTATATTTACAGAGGCCCTGACAAAGACTCACTTCTCTAAAACTACCTAACTTCAGGAGGAAGGGAAACACATCCCTTCTGTCACAGAAGCTTTCTTATTTTATTTCTCTTTGTACTTTAATCACCAAGTCCTCTTTCCTACCCTTCTACCCTACCCTATCCTATACCTGACCTACCCCACCCCCTAAAAAAGTCAGGCTGGTTTTGGGCTCACCTGAATATATTGAGATAAAACAAAAGAAGAATCCTACTTAACCTACCCCACACCCTAAAAAAGCCAGACTGGTTTTGGGCTCACCAGGATATACTGAGATAAAACAAAAGAACAAAGTTCTACACAGACTTGCCTTCAAGACACAGACAGAATTTTATCAAGCTAGCTATCCAGAATTCCAAACTGCTGAGACTGAAGAAAAGCAAACTACTTTTAAATGTGTAAGACAGGAATTTTCCTATGAGCATGCAACTTACATTACATGGGGAGATTCCAAGCTAAGTATTAGCTTGGGAGAACTCAGCACATTACCAGGTTATCAAGTATCATAACCCTGGAAAAAGACATGTATATCCCTAGATCCTCCAGGCAACTGGCACCAATTCCAGGGTCTCAGCCACACAGTAATCGACAACTGACAAGCTGGCATAGCATCTAGAACCAAAGTTCACTGAAATCAGAGACATATTTTTTGGCCACTCACACCTGGTCTGCTAGTTGTGGCCATATGTCAAATGGTATACCACCAGACAAAATGTGTTTGACATAATATCTGAGTCTAATGTATTCACAGGGTGTTTCCCATAAGGTCTGTACCATCCTGTAGCTTGGTTTGAGCTGGGCACCTGCTTTCTCCTTTAAGACTGTCTGTCACCAGAGCAAACTGGCCAGGTTGCTTCTAGAAAATGCAAATTATGACTTCTGATAAAAACTGGCAATCACATAATCATATCCAGTATTCTGAATCCACAAATACCAAGAGAGTGGGAAGATTATAAGGCTGGCAGTCAGAATATCTTAGTTCTAAAACTAATAATAGGCTCTCATACTTACTAGCTGTGTGACCATAGACAAGTGTCTTAACCTCTCAGGGCCTCAGCTTCCTCATCTGTAAAGTGGGGGCAGCCATAAACAACCTACCTCACAGGGTTGTAAGGACAATGTTTTGTAAACCTTAAAGTACTATGTACATGTGAGTTATCATCCTTCAGTGTTCAACACACATGTGATGGCACTACACATGAACTCACCAGCCCAGATATTATAATTTTTGGTCAGCCAGAAGAATAGAAAAGTTGCAGAATGCTAATTCAGATTTTATTTATATCTTATTCTCTGCAAGCTTTGCCAATCTACTGAAACAAAGGGCAGACAGCCAATGATTATGCAAGGTAATTGGTAGGGATAGGGTTGTGACCTGTGAACACCCTCTACCAATGCTGGTGGGTACATTCTTTGCAGCTTAAGAGTCCTAGAGAGGCTGCTTGGAGGATCTCAAACTTTTTTGGTCTCAGGACCCCTTTAAAACTCTTACATCTTACTATTATTATGAAAAGAATTTTGAGGTCAGGATTCTATAGAGCTCACTTTGAGAACCGACAGCTTAGAGTACCAAGAGAAGGAATTTGAACTCAGCTCTCCCTAGCTTCGAAGCCAGCTTTCTATCCACTATGCTAAACTTCCTTTCTATGATAATAGCTCACAGAAGAAATTTTTGAGAAAAAAAAACCCTTCTATTTTCCCCAATAGCTTCAATGTCCTCCTGCTCCACGAAACTTTTTACTATGGTTAATAAAGGCTGAATTACTCCGGAAAGGTTCAGCTCCTTAGCACTGTACCACACTAAGGCAAAAGCTTAAATGCTGATGACTTTCCCTTTCCCCATTAAGGAAGGCACTAACACGTGAAAAATTAGGCAGCCAGGGCAGCAGGAAAGAAACTCAGTTGGTCTACAAACAAAATATACGTCTTGGTCTTACTTTATACACTCATCAAAGCCACTAAATGCTGCCACATGGGTTAAGTAGTTCCCGTACGAAACTTAAGCAAACTCTAAATAGCAGCGGTTACTGATAAGTCACTGACAAACACAATCGAACAAAACGTCACCTCAGCAAACGACACGCACGCAGGAAAATGAAAAGCCAACGCTACTTCTCTATGTATTTCTCCGAAAAGAGTCCCCAAGTACCAAAAGCACAGGACAAGCAAAGGCATTTCAGAGGCGAAAGGACAGAGCTGCCATAGTGAAGTATAAAAAGGCGGGAAACTTGGAACTTAGGCTCGTGCGACTTTGCTTTAGTAACAAGCGTGCTGCGGGGCTCCACTTTCTATCTCCATGAGCTGGTCTTTTCCCTCCAAAGACACAAGAAGGGGTCAAAGAGGGCGCCTCCTAAGCAGGATCCCCGCCACTCCTTGTACTGAGGAAGGGGACTCAGACACGTGGAGAAACGGAAGCCGGGTGGCGACAAAAGCAGCCCCGACTTGCTCCGCTCAGGTCCCTGTGCCCGGCCTTTCGGCTCAGAACCACAATGCTTTGTTGGCAGTTAGTCCAGCCTTCGGGAGTGAGCGGAAGTACCCAGGTACAGGGAAAGGGAAATCTGTCAATTCCTGTTGGAAAATAACACAAAAGTAAAGATAAAAGACCCCCAAGCCGATACGAACTCACCACAATGGCTGCCGCTCCCGCTCCCGGCCCGGAAATGAAGTTGCAAGCCAGATGCGCCTGCGCAACAGTGTGCCAGCGTCCTACGTCCGGTAAGAGGGAAGCAGCGTAGCCTGTAGCAGAGGCAGCTAACTGGAGGGGCGGATGGGGGGAAGGCTTCGGATTGGTCCGGACGTCCTATTGGCTGCTTCTTGTATCGCTCTAGCGGACAGATTCCTCTGATTGGTGAAAAAAGTTAGCGGGTATTCGGGAGAAAAGAGGCCAGGAGTTGCCATGACAACAGGAAGAAGCTGAGCCCTCGGACTTCTTTTCTGCTTGAGGATAGACTCGAAGGCCTATAAGCGTTTTTGATTCCTATACCGCGTCTCACGAACCAATTTAAAGAAGGGACCCTCCAGAAAAAGCCGAGGAAGACATTCACACAGACCACAGGTGGCAGGTAATGGAGATCCGTCCCCCTATTTCTTAAGGTCCGAGAACTGGTAACAGTCAGGGCCATTGGGCTAGGCGCCGGCTAGCAGTCTGGGAAATAGCTGAGGGGGCATCGCGACGACAGAGTTAGCCGGACGGGCCGAGGCCGCCGCCACGAAAACCCCCGAGGTCGAGGTTAAAAACAGGGGGAAAAAAAAGTAAGAAAGAAAGAAAAGGGGGGGGGAAAGAAAGAAAAAAGGCCTCCCTCTCACTTCCCGATTCTGTGATCGTGAAAAATGTGATGAAGGGTATCCGGTGCCGCCTTACTTACCGGACTGGTAATCCTTCTGATCGGCCTTCTTCATGACGGGCTTTGTCGGCTGTGGGGCCCCGGGGCTTGGCGTGGGGGGTGGCGGGGTGTTTTGGCCTTTGACAAAAGGCCATTGGAACATCTTGAAGGGTCCTTGCCTAGGTGCTATGGCTCCGAGATGCTGAGATTTTCTGGGGTGGGGACGGGAGGGAGGCGGTTCTAGCAGCCCCGCAGGGGCGGGGTCACAATGAGGGAAGGGGGAACCGGCTCAACTGTCGTGTGGGGAGGGGAAAATAGAGGCAGTCTCAGCCTATGAAGGGGCATACGTAATGAGGGTATTTCAACTGCCCTTTGGAAAAGGGGTACAATGGAGGTGGTCCCAATAACCTTGCGCGAGCGGGGTTGGGGGGCACGATGGGGGCCACTAATTATCCTGTAGGGGCGGAGCACGGTAGGGGTGGTCTCAATAACCTTGTGGGGGTGCGCCACGATGGGAGCAGTCCCGGTAAGCCTACTGGGGGCGGGACACACAACGGAAGCAGTAACTTTTAACCCTGTGTGGAGACAAAATGGGGGTGATTCCCAGCAGGCTTGTTGGGGCGGAGCATAACGGGGGCAGTAACATTTAACCTGTGGAGGCACAAAATGGGGGTATTCCATTGAAGAAGGGGTACAATAAGGGCGGTATTGATAACCTGTGGGCGAAGCAGAACAGGCGATCTCTGCAGTGGAACGGGGGCACAACAGGGGGCAGTACTATTTAACCCGGTGGGGAGATATAATGGAGAGTCCCAAACAGCACTTTAGGGAAGGGATACAATGGGGCACCCTATGTAGGCGGAGCACGATGGGGGCGGTACCAATTAACCGGTGAGGCGGGGCATGGTGGGCGGTCTCGGAAGCCTCTTGGGGGAGAGGCAAAGCGAGGGAGATCCCAATTGCCCAGTTCGGGGCTGCGTTAAGATGGAGGCGGTCTCAGTGGGCCCCTGGGGCACAGCAGAGAGCGAAGTTGTCTCAGGTTGCCCCCTTTGGGGTGGAGATACCCCTCCTTGGGCAGAAGCCAGAGCTGCAGTCAGTGGCTGGAGATCTAGACTCAAAGTCAGGAAGATGAGTTATTTGAATTCAGCCTCTTGACACTCACTAGCTGTGCCACCCTGGGCAAGTCCCTTAACTTTTTCCAGCCTCAGTTTCCTCCTCTGTAAAATGAAGATAATAATAGTGACGATCTTGCAAGGTTGTTGGAAGGATGACATGAGTTAACATATGTAACGAGCTTTGTGAAACTTAAATAGATATAAGTGCTAGGTATTATTGCCTCTAGCAAGTACTCAACAAACATACCAGGTTATTAGCTATCACATATTTGGACATAAAAATTCATGTTTCTGGGTTCTCAAATCCACAATTAGAGGATCCTTCCCCAAATGGCTCCAGATTGATTCTCCAGTTGTCAAGCTCTAGAAACATAACTAGCCATCACTTGACTAGCTGTTACTGGTATGTGCTATAGCTACCCAAAAATAATACTCAGAGATTTTCTAGGTATAAAGTGAAAGATTTATTACGTTCTCGCTTCATCCGGCAGTCCAAGTGAAGCGAGGCAAGGCACAAGGCCAGGACAAAGGTTATATAGCCCTAACACAGAGATACCCACCTACCACTGGCTTTGAATTCCCTTTGGACAGGAATTTCAGCCTTACAATCTAAAACTCGAAAATCTACCCCAGAAACAAGGAATCTCATTATAATACTACCAATCCTAGCTATTTTATCCTTTTTAGTAATTAGCCATTAGCTAATGCTGATGTAACACTACAAATCATGTGTTTTCTGGGAACCTGAAACTTAGGCCTATTGAGGCTAGTGTAACCAACCTTGAGTTTGTAACAGTCTAAGAAATTGCTACACTCAGTCCATCTGAGAGATCTCACATTGGTAACCAGTCTTGACAAAAGTTTGCAAAAGGAGAGACCTCTTCATTGACTTGTACATGTGGGTCCTTTTCCCATTTTTATGATCTCTTTGGAATACAGACTTAGAAATGGTATTGCTGGGTCAAAGGGTATGCACAATTTTATAGCCCTTTGGGCATAGTTCCAAATTGCTCTCCAGAATGGTTGGATCATTTCACAACTCCACCAACAATGCATTAGTGTTCCAATTTTCCCACATCCTCTCCAACATTTACCATTGTCCTGTTTTGTCATGTTAGCCAATCTGATAGGTGTGATGTGGTATCTCCGAATCATTTTGATTTGCATTTCTCTAATCAATAGTGATTTAGAACATTTTTTGTGACTGTAGACAGCTTTAATTTCTTGCTCTGAAAACTGCCTGTTCATACAATGTATTCATGTAAAAACTACCCCAGCAACAGAGAGAACAAAGAGGTATAGAAATTATGTTAGCACGTTCCCCTTTTCAGGGCCTCACAGTTTCAGCAGTCTTTTACCCAAGGTCATACAACCAGCTAGAGGATGAGATAGGATGCTCCCACGTCTCAGGAATTTCTGCTAACACTATCCAAGAGTAGGAGAGGGAGAAGGCTAGGGGAGGGAGTCTTGCATTCTGAGGGGTCTTCACTTAGTGTTGGTACACATGTACCACTCAGAAGCAACAATACCAGAACCATTAACAAGAACTAATGACCCTTTGAGGAGGCTTCACTTCTGAGAGATCATCTCTCACACTGTTAACAATCCAGAACAGAGGTTTTCAGTTTTTTGTGTGTTATCCTGAACTCCTTTGTTTGTTATTCTGGTTAAGTCTTATGGGCCCTTTCTCAGAACAATTCTTTGTGAAGGCATACAGAAACAAAGGACCACAAAGGAGACCAATTATATTGAAATCAGTTATCAAAATATAAAAACAAACAAAAACCAAGATCACAGACCCCAGATTAAGAATACCTGGTCTAGATCTAAAGGTCATTGGAATCTGAGACACTCAGACCACTCAGGCCTCTCAGACCTGCTTTACCCTATGGTCTACAAGTTTGTGCACCTGAGAGAAAAGGAGGAACTCTATAATGACCAAGCTTGGCCCAGAAGAAGAGATGGGAAAATGTACCTTAATCCCTTCTTTGCAGAGGTGGTGGATTTTGGATGTGGAACATTGCATAAGATCTCAGACTTGGATAATGTGTTGGCTAGTTTTGCTGAATTGTTCTTATATATAATAAATGCTTGTTGATTGAAGCTGTGTATAAAAGTATACACATATGAACACTTTTACTTGCTTTGTTATGTTATCAAACTTTTAAAGACTTTCCAATCAAGACTCCACTGTATTATCTATATGCTTGTGTAAAATGAAGAGGCCCTGAAAAGTCATGGAGGCTTGGACGTCCACTATGTGCTATGTACAATAAACACAGGCCAGGCCAGTCCCCTTTTTCAGAACCCCACCCCCCATCACCCAATTGTGATGTTCAAAACTCCCAAAGTACAAGAGAATGAAAGTAACTGGTTACAGCAGTGGCACCCTCTGGGGTAAAGAAGTGGTGTCTGTACCTGCTCAGCCTACTACTACATGGTTCATACTTTGCACTTGCTTGGGGCTGCCCTGTGACTAGACAAACCACTCCAAAAAGCCCCCTCCCCACCTGTCTGTCTCAATCTCTTTATCCTCATTGGCTGAGGCAAGAGACCTCACAGTCTATTTTCAGAACCCAAGAGATACATTTTACTCAAAACTAGCTTGGGAGCTAGAGGATTGCTTTATTTGGTAAAGTTAAAGCACAAAGCAACAGAGGGGGTGGTTACAAAACAAGGGAGGGGGGTGGGCAGCTGGTGCACAATCCCCTTCCCCAGAAAAGAAAGTGAAACTTAGGCCCAGCTCATGCTGAAGCCTCACTACATTTATGGAGCATAGCTTACATCTTACATGAGAAACTTTCACTTGTCCCATATAGTTCCCCCCTCTCATTTCATAGTTGAAAGTTTCTCACACCAAAACTGGTAAGTTTCTTCAGCTTCCCTATTTGCTATTTCATCAAAATCGGGCCCTCCTTCTTCCTGATTGACTGTCCCTTGATTCCTTAACATATTAGTTTAATAGACTCACTGACAGGTTTGTTTGATGTAATCATTCTAGAGAGGGTCTTTTGTACAATAGTAATAATTAATTGCACCATGCATGGGACACACATTGGGAATAGTATGACTCCACTTATTGCTATCAACAAAAACCATAATACCTGCTTCCACCAAGATTCCCCGAACCAGGACCCCCAGGGAGTATTAAATGGGGAGGACCAGGTTTGCACTGGAACATGGGCAATCTTCCTAATCTCTTTAGTAATATCCCTAATGGTTTGTCCCACATCATCTATTTTCATGCAGCAGGTGGACAGGTTTAATTTTCCACAGACACCCCTTCCTCAGCTAAAAGGTAGTTCAAGACTAACCTGTGTTGCAGGATAGCTTCTCAGCTTTGGTCCACAAAGGTGGACAGGATGTCAATAGCCTCAGTAGTTTGATTGGCAATGATTTCTACCACTGCTTGGAGTCTAATTATCCTATTAAACATGTATATCGGGGTTCTATACCCCCAGCTCCCATCTTGTGCCCAGGTAGCAGGTCCATATTCCTTTATAATTCTTTTAGGAGGCCAAATATCACCCCATCCATTTGCATTTCCCATGCTAGCAACAGAGGTATCAATGGCTGGCTTGTTCCCTTTTAAATCATCATATACTTGTACCCCCAGATGTTTGCCTCCTTGTCCCAGGAGGAAGAAGAATTTAGGTTGAATTAGCTGCATTGTGGGGAGACATACCAGGAGTAGGACAATAATTCCTCTCAAATTTTACAATCTAAGAATTTTAGAAACATAATACAATTTAGAAACAATAATGACTTTTGTAATAAAGACTATAAAACATCAATTGCATCTTCATATCATCACATATAGAAATTATCATTCTTATGATATCTTTAACACCTGGCACTCTTGGTACCTTTCACAATCACATTAAATAATTCAAATTCTTCTCCGCTCTTTTTCTTCCTTCTCTAACCATCACCCCTTTAAGTAAATATAGGCATTAATCTAAACATTGACAAATTAAAAGAGCAGTCCCTTCATAAGTACAGATACAGAGACCCAAAAGAAGAAAACAATGCAATTGTCCCTTTAAGAATCAAAAAGGTCTTTTTTTTTTTTTGGCTAGGCAATGGGGTTAAGTGACTTGCCCAGGGTCACACAGCTAGTAAGTG